GGGGCAGCTTGCCTCTATCTTGGAAACTATTTCTTTCTTTCTTTTTTACAAACTCTGATGTCTTGAATGAAAACTAGAAACCCATTGAAATGATACAATTTTTCCCCATAGTTGAACACTTTACTGTGTATTTCTGTATACAAATTTATGTTTGGTTGTGGCTCTTCCTTAGTATATTCCTGCCTTGCCACAGAAGTGCTAGTAAGGAATAATTTCAATTCTTTCCCTGTAAGCAAAATTTAAAAAGAGGGGAAACAATAATTTTGAAGTGTTCATGTATACTCTTTAGTTATCTTGTACCTTTTCCATTAGTACATCTAATAAGAGATTCTTTTAAGTGTTTTAAACAAAATAAGATTTCAGACTTATCAATGAAATGGGAAAAGTTCCTTTGTCCCCTCGAAGGGTATGTGATGGGGGTGTGGCTCGCTGCTTTGGTGCCTGGTGGCTCAAACCTCTAGGAGGAATATGCAGATGAACAGGCTGTGGGGCTCCAATTCCATGGCAGTGTATAGGGTTGAATGTTTACAGCTGAATCCCCAGTGGGCGAGTGTTACTGTGTGCTCTTTCAATTTAGCCGTCTGTAAGTGGCTTGTGTTAGCTCAATTAGACCCCCTTGCCTTATCGCAGGGGCAGAGGGCTTTCTGTATCCTGGGGTTTCTTGCCTTGGTGTACCAGAAGAATCAAATCACATGCGGGCCTGGAGAATGAGTGCAAGGTTTTAATGAGTGGAAGTAGCTCTCAGTGAGGTGGATGGAGAGGTCAGAAAGGGGATGCAGTGGGAAGGTGGTGGTTTTCTGCTGGTATGTGCTTCTACTGGTGTGTCCTTCTAAAGGCGTGCTCCTCTCAGTGTCCTCTTAATATTCAGCTCCCTGTATGTTCTTCTGCCAATGTGTTCATCTTGACACCCAGCTGCTTGTTTGTGTGCCTGCTAAAGACTAGGGATTTATATATGCACACGATGGGGGTGTGGCGGGCCATGGTTGTCTTGGGAAATGCAACATTTGGGTATAAAAACAGAAATGCCTGTTCTCACCTAGGTCCATGGGCACAGGCCTGAGGGTGGAGCCCTCTCCATGGATGGTCCTTCCCTTCCCAGCACTTCCCTGCTGTCTTCCGTATCATCAAGACTAGAGAATATAATCATGTTGCATTTTTATGGCTGATATGTAGAAGCCAAGGAAAGGGCATCCTTTAGATTAGGTTATATCGCATTGCCTGTTTAATACTGCATAGATCAGGTGATGTTTCAGTTGAACTGACTTTGGGAAATTAAATTTAATGAGTATATACTTGAACCTTCTGTTCCATGCAGATGAGCTTAGTTGTCAAGGACAGGAAAACAGCAGCTGCTCATAGATCCCCATGGGTGATGACTATTTCACTAGATTAGAGGTAAGCCAGATTCCTACCACACAGCCAAGAGTAAGAATTGTTTTTAAAACTACTGATTAATGCAGAAGTCAGTTTAGTTTACTGTGCTTCAGTTAGTGTTATAGTTTTAATTTTATAATTTAAATTTTATCTAGTATTCTATTATGATGACAACCTTGTTTCAATCTCAGAGGTAAGGTTAACTTTTTTTTCATTGTGTTTTCCTTCTGCTACCCTCTTTGGTGATAACAACAACATTTAGTGAGCATTTACTTCAGCCTGTATTTGTGTTATACCCTTACATGCATTTTAGCTTCATAACAGCTCTGTGAAGAACAAACTGTTTATCTCTGTTTTACTCAGAAAACTGAGACTAGGAGAGGTTTAGTAACATGAGAAAGGTAACACAGCTAATAAATAGTATAACAATAGCTAATAGGTAGCTATTAGCTATCTCTGTTTTCCTAATACTGAACCTATAGAATCTCTGTTGTGTTTTGGCTTATCAAAATGTAATTCTCTATCATAATTCTGTTCTTTCTCTAAGCTTTTAATTTTGCTTTCTTTTGCTGCATGTGTTTCAGATAAGTTTTCTGATACAAAGTTAAAATCTATCCTGCATTCTCCATTTATGCCCTTTTTATGTTGCTTCACAGCCTTTTTTTTAAAGTGAAAGTTAACCTTAAAGTAAAAAAGATATGCAGAAATTTTGGAAGTCTTTGTGGCCTAACTTTGTTTTTCTTAGTGAAAGGCTTAGGAGTACACTTGTTTCTTCTAAGCTTACTGAAGTTCTTGCAGTGAACTATTATGTTAACCTTGAGACAAGCTGCTATTATAATGTTCAAATTATTCTTTGTCAAATCCACATTTAACTGTGTTTTTAAACCCTGAAGCCACAATCTCAGATGGTACTTCTGTGTTCCAAGGTGGTCATGTTTTAATTTTCAAGTAAAAAACATCTCTCTTGACCCTTCATAGAATCAGTGTTCAAGGTCAGAAGACATTTTTGGAGCACTGAGATGAGACCCAGAGCTTTCAGATGTCTTTTAGCCTCCCAGAAGTGACTTTTTTTTTTTTCTTAAGTTGAATCGCTTGTGGTGTTGGATCTACAAGGATTTAGTATTATGTCATCATCTAGGAGGACTTCAGCTATTCTGGGTTTTGTTGTTGATTTTACTGAATATATCATTACATGACACAATATTATTCCAGACAGCAAACTGAGGCTCATCTGAGTTGGATGCTACAACCTTATTATTAATATTCCACATAGGTTGTCATTTGAAGAAATATTGACAAACATAAATGAAAGTAATCTTGAGGTGATATAATTTATTGGTCTTTATTTTAATAAACCTTAATTGATGACCTTGTAAATTGGTACAATAGTCACTGAAACAACATAGTGATTCATATCAAGAGACATAAAGTTATTATACCCTTTAATCTGGCAATTTTGGGAACAGCTGTCCTGTTACTCCTTTTAGCATGAACCAGAAAGATGCAGAAAAATCTCAGAGACCATCCATTACTTTGTTACTTTTTCTTTGTACTCACTGATTTTAATGGACATATTTATTTGTAAAGATAATTTATGTTTTCTGAAATAAGGTGCAACTTCCAAAAGACTTAAAACTAAAGGCTTCTGATTCTGGAAATGTTTTATATATTGTATAATTGTGTTTTATGAATTTTTTTCTACTGATTGATTCTTTATTTATTGTCATAGCCAGTGATGACTAAGAACATAAAAAATATTTAAAAGAGTAAGTTGAAAAATCACTTTAAGTGAAGCCTAATATTTAATAGAAATCTTGTCTAAATTCAAGTAAAAAACTCTTAAGAAGTGATGAGATAGTATTTAATTTCTTCACTCCATTTTAAAAAGCCATACAGATAAAATATACATCCCTAATTGCAAAACTGTCCTTAGATAAAATTTTTGACTGGTCGTAAGAATTTGTAGCTATGTAAGAATTAATATGTGAAATTGTTTGTAATAATTATCTGAAACTAAAGGCATATACTAGTTTTTAAAGTATTTAGGGATAACAATGTTTTTCCCCCTGGCAATTTAGAATTGGAAGTATATTGTAGAATGCCCTTGTTCCCCTCTAGGGTGAAACTCCGAGCAATCTCACAGATGAAAATGGCACTTAGAAGTGCTTGCTACAATCCTCAGTTGACCTCTTTTCAGGTCACTTATGTTTATATTACTGGTGACACAACTTTTTTTCCAATGTACAATGTTAGCTTTTGTAGTAAATGTTTCTTTTTGTGACATTGACTTTTACTATGGAGTACTGTGTTTCCTTTTAAATACAATTGAGATGTTTTGGAATCCACTTAGTCTGAATGAAATAAAATAGAGAATTCTTAGAGTCATCATTTGTTGCTAAATTATGAGAAATATGGGTTTAATTTATAAAATAGGTAAAGGCAAATTTCCTGTATTATTAAAAGTAAAGCTTCAGTGTTTTCAATTGCAAGTGACCACAGAGATATATAATTTGAGCAAATTAATTTGAATAGATATTTGATTTTGTCCACATGACTCTACAGTGGGAAAGGCAGCTGTGATGGGAAATGTTAAAGTGATGCCTCTGTCATTTTTCCATGTTGGCCAGGAGGATCCTTAAGCTTTCATTATCTTTACTAATTCTTGGTGCCCATGCAAATATTATTTATGTATAACATTTAAAGGGCAGGGATCTGTTCTTTACTCCTAGTCTCATTCAGCACTTTTTTCATGCCTCTCCCTCCTTTTTTTTGATATTATCATTCTCTGTTTGTGGTTGTGATTGTGAATATTTGAGTAAGTATTTTCCCTCTGCTACTAGACTATAAGCTCTGTGACAATAAAGGTTGTACATGTTTTTGTTCATCCATGTGTCTTGAGCAGTTAGCACAGTCTCTAGAACAAAGAAGGTGCTTGGTAAATATTTGTTGAGGTACTGAGGGTTTTATTTATCTTTGTCTTTACATGCACATAGCATAGCATTTTGATATATACTTCGTGTTCAGTAAAGGTTTGCTAAGACGAATTGAAAAAAATACTTTTCACATATATTATACATGATCTTAAGCATTTCATTTTACTTATTCTTTTTAAACTGATAACTGTTAGAAGCATTCCTGTAGTTTGTTGAGTCCTTCATTATGTACCCAGCACCATGGTAAGCCTAATACTTGCCCTAATCTAACTTTATAATAATTGGGTAAGGTATTTATACACACATTTTACAGAGAAGGTAACTGAGACTCAGAAAGGTTAAATTATCTAAGATTATAAAGTTAGTAAATGGGGAAATCAGTATTTAACTTTGCAAAACCCCAGTTTGCATGGCTCTAAATCCTATCCCTTCAGCCTCCATACAATCCAAGTGATGCTCAAACCTTGAAATTCCAGGATAACACAGTGAAGATAAGCAAATTGTATGTCAGTTACTGGAAAGTGTTAGGTAAATAAAAATGGGTAGAAATGAAATTTCTGTAAGTCAAAAAATAATAGTAAATGGGAATCAATAATTGCAATGATTTTAATAATGTGATTATGGAAGTAACCTCAAGAATGCTTTTTTTGAAGGACTTAAGTGTAACTTTTGTTCTGTTTGTGCTTCTTGTAGGTTTGAGTGGCCGCTTCTTTGTCACCACTCTCCCAGCATTTTTTCAGTAAGTTTAAATAATCTTCTGGTCTTGCAAAGATTAGAAATCGATAGATGTGTACCAGGAATTCTAAGTTGTCTTCCATGACTGCCATTCATTCGGCTTAACATGTGAGGGAAACAAGGCTAATGTGCTCTGAGTGAGAGCTGTGACAAGAGAAGCTTGCCTAGAGTGCTGCGGAGAAGGAAGTCCTAATGTCAGGCAGGGGTGGGTGGGTAGGAGGAGTCAGAGATTTCTCTGATGATATCAGAGGTGGGATAATTCTTAGTATCTAAGTAGGAACGGATTAAACTAACAAGGTAGAGAAGGTCTTTCCAGTTAAAGGAGATAGCATATAAAAGCCCAAGAGAAAATGAGGTACCTTTTGAGAACTTTGAACTAGTTCTATATGGCAGGACCACAGATATAGCTGGATCATGCTGAGTGATGAGGCTAAAGAGACTCAGGTACAGGCAGGGGAAAGACAAAGGAAGAAGTGGATTAGAGAGATAACTAGGAGGTGGGATCAATGGGACTTGGTGGCTGATTAGCCATGGGAAGAAAGAGTCTATGATGACTACCACAGGCCATGTGTAACTAACTAGTAAAAACTATTGCAAGATAAGGAGCCATTAAAATAAAAGGAGGTTTGGAAGATAGAGACAAAAATACAAAAGATAGGGTGAATTAACTTTCCCAGCTCCAAATGGAGAAGTCTTGATACAGTTTGATGTCAGGACCCAGAGCTCTGGAGAAAGATCTAGACTGTGCTGGGCCTGGTGGCTTATGCCTGTAATTCCAGCACTTTGAGAGGCTGAGGTCGGTGGATCACCTGAGGTCAGGAGTTCAAGACAAGCCTGACCAACAAGGTGAAACCCTGCCTCCACGAAAAATATAAAAATTAGCCAGGTGTGGTGGCATGCACCTGTAATCCCAGCTACTCAAAAGGCTGAGGCAGAAGAATCACTTGAACTCGGGAGGTGGAGGTTGCAGTGAGCTGGGATCGCACCATTGCACTACAGCCTGGGCAAGAAGAGTGAAATTTCATCTTGGGGGAATAAAAGAGAATGATCTAGACTGGAGATATATGTTGAGAATTCCTCAGCATTGAAGTAAATAACAATTGAAATATATCTAAAGAGAACATGTATGGTGAGAAGGGAAGCAGGTCAAGGACAGAACCTGGGATTGGCCAACTTTAAGACATCTGCAAAGGAAGACAGTGAGTGAAAGATTTGGAGAAAGGATGCTCAGAGCAGCAGGAAGAAGTCCAGAGAGCTCCTGTTATAAAAGCTAAGCAAAAGGAGGAAGGAAGTGGTGTTCAGCAGCGAGTGAACAATGCCAGTGACAGGTGAAGGAAACAGAAATTGATATGGCACTTAGGGGTCATTGGAGACCCCCAATTTGAGCAGTTTCAAGGGAGTCCTGGGAGCAGAACCCCCAATTGCCCCAAGTAGTGAATGAGACATAAAGGGGAGAAAACAGCAAGCCTAGACTCTTCCCTGGGAGCCCTGATTGCGGCAAGTAGGTGAGAGAGAGACCAGGTTGAAGGGGCGGTATGAGGTTTTTTGTTGGTGTTTGAAGGGAGGGCCATGAATGACATACATTTGAAAATGTGGATGCAGTGTTTTAAACTTGGTAACAATGGCTATTTTGCTATTGTAAGAGAAAAATTAAAGTAATTGGTAGCAAAAATAATAAAAAGTAACTTGGCATATGAAACACTGCCAAGGACTCACATTGTATGGTGATAACATAGAATGTTAACACTTTCAGGTTTGGATTTATCATTTGTAATAAAGCTTATTAATGCTTTCTGATTTATGTCTGTGTATATTTTTCAGTTGAGTCCATTTAAAATTCAAGTGGAGTTCAGATGTATGACCAATAGCTGTTTTAATTTTTATTATCGGCAACATCTGTTGCTTTAATGCATTTGCTTTCTACTTGTTTTCATAATTTATAGTGCAAAGGATGGGATATTCCGCCGTTACCGTGGCCCAGGAATCTTCGAAGACCTGCAGAATTATATCTTAGAGAAGAAATGGCAATCAGTTGAGCCTCTGACCGGCTGGAAATCCCCGGCTTCTCTAACGTAACTTGTTAATTTTTTAATGACAAGGTGTTATTAATGAAACAGGAGGTTTTAAGTTAATAGCCTGTGGGCCTCAAAAGCCCATGTTTTTCTTCACATTTGCTTCCTATTACCCAGATTCTTCGTGGCCACGCTTAGCCCATGCAGTATTTTTGGTTTTGTGACCCACATATGTTTCAGCTGGTTTTTAGTACACTGGGAATTAAGTAGCCAGATTTGGGTGAGTTACAGAAAGCCTCTTTTCTGCCTTTGGCATTGAGCCATGATGACTGTTTTTCTCTTTACAAAATATGGTTTGAACATCGTTTATCATTCTTCCTTTTAAGTTATTGATGAGACAGAGGAGTAACTATTAAATTATAGTTTATGGAGGAATTGCTATTATATATTACGTGGAAAACAAAACCTGTGGGGTCTTTGGCTGCCTAGCAGAATACCACTGGGGGTGGCTTTTGGCCTTCATGGCCAACTGTCTAATACTTAGTGAGGTAGATTAGGCCAAGCCATAACAACTTTTTCCACAGTTGGTTTTAATTTGGAATGGATTGTCATATATATAGATAATTTTATATTAGTATATACAATTGTAAAAAAATTTCCCTACTGAAAAACGAGCAAATCTTGCAATATTTCAGGAATAAATCAGCTTGTGGCATCTATATTAATATTAAGGAAACACATAGCTTGCTCTAAAAACAACTCCCCTCTGGCATTTCATTCTACAACCATTTGAACACTGATTTAGCCAGATACCTTTCTAGGTGCTAGGTATTCGACACTGAACAAGACAGACATTCGCCTCAGGTACAGAGAATCATAGTCTGGATAAGGGTGGATAAAAAACACAACATACTTTACAAAGACAGGGGATAGCTGTGGGGTTATGGACCTACTCTTCTAGGTGGAGGGAGTAGGAGATGTTTCTCTGAAGGGAGGCCTCTAGGTGAGATCTGAAGGCTAGAAGGAACTAGCCTAGGTAAAGAGCAGAGGGAAGAATACTCCCAGGAATGGTATGGCATAGGCATAAGCCCCTGTTTGGGAAAGAGCTTGGTATACTTAAGGAACAGAGTGGTGACCAGGGTCAAGCACAGTGAAAGGGAGCACAGGATGAGCTGAGTAAGATAGACAGGCTGAAGCCCGATCACACAGGGCCTGTGGCCACAGGAAAGAAGTTGGAAGTTATCAGTACATGCAAGGAGAAGGTGACTCTTAGAGGAGATTGGCGAGGGCAAGAAGGGATGAAGCGAGTCCAGCCTTGGAGTGGTAGCTTGTGTCAGGTGGTGGCAGTGGGGATATGGGGATGGAGAGACTGAGTGGATTTAACATATTCTTTGAAGGTAGACTTGGCCAAGGTGAAGGAGAAGGATTCATAAGTAAAACTTAAAAGTTTCTGGTTTGAGTACATGATGAATCTTGATACTACTTAATGCTTTGGGCGAGAGAAAATTAAGGATTCTGTATAAAACTAGAGTTTGAGATGCAGACTTCAAAGAACTGTCACACTGGCTGCTGTATTCATCCATTCTTGCATTGCTATAAAGGAATACTTGAGACTAGGTAATTCATAAAAAAAGATGTTTAATTGGCTCATGGTTCTGCAGGCTGTACAGGAAGGATGATGCTGGCATCTGCTTGGCTTCTGGGGAGGCCTCAGGAAACTTACAATCATGGTGGAAGGTGAAAGGGAAGCACATACATCACACAGCCAGAGTAGAAGCAAGAGAGAAGGGTGGGGGGTGCCACACACTGTTAAACAACCAAATGTCGTGAGAGCTCACTCACTATCAAGAGAACATCACCAAGTGGATGGTGCTTAACTATTCGTGAGAAACTGCCCCCATGAGCCAATCTCCTTCCACCAGACCCCACCTCCAACTTTAGGGATTACAATTGAACATGAGATTTGGGTGGGGATACAGACAGATTCAAACCATGTCAGGTGCATGGAGCTGGGTCCCTAGAAGAATTCAGGAAAACAAAGACAAAACCTGCAGGCAGTGTTGAAGTGAGGGGAACACCTAGAAAGAAGGAAAAGGAGAAGAGTACTTGGAGGTGAGTCATGGGCCACCCCCAAATTAAGAACCTGTGTTGAGAAGTCAACAAAAGGAAACTGAAATGAGTACCAGAGAGGCATCATGAAAACCAGGCTCTGCCATTTTCCAGAAACCAAATGAAAGTGTTCAAGAAGAAGGGTATAGTCTCTTGTGGCCCATGTTACTAAGAGGAGGAGGGAGGTCAAGTCTGATACATGGACTTTGAGTGAAGCATGGTGAGGTCATCATGGCTTTGACAATCAGGGTTCCTGTAGTGGTGAAGGTGGAAGCCAGATTTGAATGGATTAAAGATACAGTAAAGAAGAAGAAACAGCACGTGTAGAGGACCCTGGAGAAATTTGTCTGTGAAGCTGGAGGGCCCTGTGAGGTTCAGGGATACCAGAACTTAAAGTATATATATTTTTAAAAAGTTAGAAGAGAGTAGAGCAGGTTTATATGCCTATGAGACTATTCTAGCAGAGAGAGAGAAGTTGCTCATGCAGGAGGGGAAAATGAGAGAAAGAGCCAAGTCGTAATAAGACAGAAGGGATAGGCTCCGACTGTGATAAGACAGTTAGACTTTCCCTGTCATAACAAGAGAAGGTGGATGCAGCTGGACACCAGGCTCAGATCTGGTAATGGGAAAGTAAGAGAGATCACATGGTGGCTTCTGATTTCACAGTGACATAGGAGGAGAGCTTGGAGAAGTGCTTGTTAGCTGAGAGTACATGGGGATGGGAAAATGTGTAAGTTTTGAAGAAAAGGAAAAGGAAATGAGCTATTATCTTAGTTAGAGCCTAGAAAATTCTGGACAGTATTAGTGTCCACTTAGGTATGGTACTATGAGAAGAAAGAACCGTCAGCTGGTTATGTGATGTTTTTCCCCCAGAGACGTTCAGCTGCTCAGGGTTGAGATTTTTGCCAGGTGGTACAGTGAAAGGAGAAAGGGCTAAGGAACTGGAATAGATTTGCAGCAGAGTGATTCAAGTGATAGCCACTGAATCTAAGCTCTATAAGAACAGATACGAATCTGGGAGAGGGGAAAATATGTAGCAAGAAGTGGAGGGGAAAGGACCAGTCCTCCTGACCTGATTTTCATTTTGTTTGTTTGTTTGCTTTCTTAATAGTATATGTGATCAATGTTTCTTCTTTTTATTTTTTAAGGATGTCTGGAATGGCTGGTCTTTTTAGCATCTCTGGCAAAATATGGGTAAGTAATCTTAAATAAAACATTTATATTTGCAGAGATATTAAGAATAAAAATACAGCTTTTAAGCAATAGGAAAATAAATATTTATAAGTAAATTTATAATTTCACTTTTTTTCTTAAGCCATGCAGCTACTCTCATGTGGGGTTCCCAGTAGTAATGTCTTTATGTAGAAGGGCATAATCTGAACACGAACCTGTAACTACTGTGTCAAAGTCTTATTTTCTTAGATCAGTGATGGAGTCTTTGATCCAAGCAAAAGGGCTTATGTGATTTTATTTTATCTTAAATTCACATTGGCATGTCTCCCTACATAGGAAAGACTATCTAAGCCTGAAAGTAGTTCTGTATGTCAGGGGTTAGCAAACTCTAGCCTGTGGGTAAGCTGCCTGTTTTGTAAATAAAGTTTTGCTGGAACACAGATACATTTATTCATTACCTATTGTCTGTGACTGCTTTCATTCTGCAATGGTAGAGTTAAATAGTTGTGACAGAGCCACAGAGAGTTGTGGCTCACAAGCCCGAAATATTTACAATCTGGCCTTTAAGTAGTAGACCCCTGCTATATTTGATTGTATAATTTTTCTGAGTCATTTCAGTGGGTTAGAACTGTATTTCAGTTTGAATTGTTGAACTATTATATAATCTTGAATATGTCCCGTAACCTTTTATTCTCCTTCTCTGTAGGGGAGGACTAAATCCAACCAGATTTAACAAAATTGCTCTAGAATTAAATATAGCTCAAAATATTTCAAAAATTCTTAGAAGCGAGTCTCTCTATATATGTCTTTTCTATGCTATGATTGTAGGTTATGGTGCCATGTTTGGAAGGTAATATTCAAAGAGTTTGTGAAGACTCTTTTTCTGTGTCTCATACACATTCATATATGTTGAAAGACATTTGAGAAAAACCTTTTGTATTCCACTTTCTCAGTAACATTTATATTCTGCCTTGTGAAATAGAATACCTACTATGGGGTTTTTTTGGTTGGTGATTTTTTTTTTTTACAACAGAGGCTAATCAAAGACTTGGTTTCAGTCTTTCAGGTTAAATTTTAACTTTTTTGGCATTTGTTTATTACAATAAACAGTAACTAATATTTTCTGCTCTCCAGATAGTTTTAGTTTCATGTGGTTTCCTTTTACTGCTTTCTTAACATTGGTGAGACCTTAAATTAAGGGCTGAGAATTATGAACTGCAAACTGGGAAGAGAGATTCTGCCTTTTGCAGTATGTTGATATTAAAGATTGACAAAATCATGTAGCCTGCTAGCTGACTGAGCTGTGTAGCATTATACTATGTAATTCAACAGAAGAATTGTAATAGATGGTTGTCAGGCAGCACTGACTGAAATTTTAGCACCAAATCTATGGTAAGTATAGAACAATAGAATTTGTTCTGCAGGTTAAGAAGAGCTTAGATGGAAGCTGATTATGGCCTTCATTGATTGTAAAAGAGAAGTTCTACTTTTAAAGACAGTAGCAGGGAAGTTACATACTCTGACCTCATGTAGCTTGTCACTTGAAGCTTAGTTAAACAAGAGTTTAAATAAGGAGATACAATTTTTCATTATGTCATGCAGATGATTACAATGTGTAACACTTACAGTGTGTCAAGGCCAGGAGTGGGTGTTTTATCTTTGTACACACAGTGCCCAACTATGGGCAACACAGATGTACTCCGTGTGGATGCATTAAACTGAAGAAAAAGAGCCATTTGGAGAATAGAATTTGATCCATGTCTGAATAACTCATGAATATGTTCTTCTTAATGGTTGAGAAGTAGAATACATATGTTATATAAATGTATATTTATAATTTCTTTCCAGATATATTTCCGAAAGGAACCAAAAATGATAATTTTATAAAATAAATTAAAATTTGGCACACAAATAATTACATTTTGTAATTGTAAAATGTAGAATGTAAAATATACAATTATTAATACCATGTTTTATCTTTTTTTATAAACATTTGCATGGAATAATTTTTCCATTTTCAACCTTTTTATTATGTTTTAAGTAAATCTTATAAAAAGTAGATAGCAATACATAATTCTTTTAACTGATTAATTTAATCCATTTATATTTTTTGGGCTCACAAAAACATTTATCCTGATTGGAGAGAGAGAGCGAGAGAGAGAGAGAGAGAGAGAGAGAGAGAGAGAGAGTGTGTGTGTGTGTGTGTGTGTGTGTGTGTGTGTAGGGGAATGGAAGAGAGTTGTACATAAAAGAGCACAAATGGTATAGTATTAGATTATTTTGATCTCCTTGTGTGTGTGTATACATTACCTTAATAATTTGTGAAATCTGATAGTATCCTCCATATCCGCATGTAGCCTCCCCAAGCCTCTTGCTAACTTTGGTAATAGAAATAAGTCCCCATCCTTTCATTAAATCTCTAGGTAGGCCTCTTGCCACTTGTATTTCTAGGATTTGGCTCTTGTCCTCTTATTTACGAGGCATACAATCTCTGACCTAAAGAGACCCAGTCCTTTAGGCTACCCATCAGGTCTCTGGTTCCCACTTCCACCTCCAGTTATGGTCTTGCCTTGCTGTCCTTAGAGAGCCACTTACTCAGTCAGTCCTCCCAGCTGACTGCCCTGCCTGCTCAGTTAGCTCATTCAGCTGACTCTTTCTTTAGCTGGAGTTCCTCAAATCAATGTTGAATGTATAATTGTGGCAAACTTAATTGTTTTTTAACTCACCTCTAGATCATATGAAACTGCAGTGCAAATATATTAATAATGAAGAGAAGAAACACTGTATATAGTGAGACAGAGATGGGGATGGGAGGTGGAACCAAAAAAGTGTAAAGTCTCGGAGAAAGATTAAAAAGATGGAAGAAGGAAAGATAGAATGGCTAATGCCAGTGAGACAAGATTGTTTATGCCTATCCGTAGTCTCTTTATCCTATTGAAATATCTGGATACATGTACAGATAGTAATCAGTCCTTCCTCAGCAACAGACTTCCCTGGATGGGTAGCTGGTTAGATTTAAGTATTTATATGGGAAGATAAAACAGTATAATGTGATGTTTATTGGAGTTTTTGTATGTATGTAGGAAAATGCCTAGAGAGAAATCAACAGTTTTCTCTGATATTAGAATTATGAACAATTTTTAAAAACCTTTTTTCTATAACTTCTATTTTTTCTGTAATGAGAAAATAAAAACAGAATATATCTAGAAGATCAGAGCCTATTGAACTAGTGATTATCTAGAAAATATCTAGAAGATCAGAGATCTATCTAGAAAATCAGAGCCTACTGAACTCGATTCCTTAAGAGGCTTGAGCTTCTTTCTGCCTTCGAAGTAAAGCCAACTTGCTCAGTCTGACATTCTGGAGATAAAAGCTGGTGCTCAAGATTCTGGGTTCCCCTGGTGATGAGGCACTTACACGGCCAAATTCCTATCAACTCGGGAGGTGTTTTGGTTTGCATTTGACCTTCTTAATTTTATACCAACCTTCCCTGTGTTCTTGCTTGAGTAAACCCTTGAGGTGAGAAAATCCCTGGAATAGTCTTATAAGGCAATTCCTGTGAGCTTCCTGCTATTACCCTGAATCCCAGAGATCCTCCATATGTCATTTGTACCACAATGTGGACACGGGGAGATGATCTCCAGTGTTCTTTCCATCACTAAATTTAAATTGTCTTTTCAATTCAGTCATTCATAGCATTCACCTGCATATTTTAATTTTTGTATAAACTCACAGAAGTAATTACCACATTAGCTATAATATCTATCCTCATGGCTAGTCTCAACATTTTCCCCATCTCACTTAAAGATGGAGTCACTCAGGCCTGGGAGATGGGACAGTTAGAGGAGTTTCTCAGAAAGTTGACATCTTCAAAGGACAAAATTGATTTTGATTTTATATTATAGTAGCAATATAAAATTTCTTTAAATCTATATACAACTTAAAGTGACTAAGTAGAAATGTTAATACTCTAATGGATGGCACAAAGTGAGGTGGATATCATGAAAGCAATGTGCAGAAGATTGTACTTCAAGAAGCATCACTGCCAAATCAAATGGGATTAGAAGTCCTTGGGTTTTTTGTCTGTGGCACACGTGTGGAGAGAGACCGTTCAGTCTTGTCTTCCCTCTTTTCACAGTTGGCTACAGTGCTGCAGAGAGGCACATCATTGCTTCCCACCTTGTTTGTAGGTCCCCGAATCTTTTTTTTTTTTTTCCTGCCATGGGCTTGTTCCTAGAACCCTTTGAGTGCTTAGTGCAGAATCTGGTACCTATTTATGTGCTTGATTATTGCTTTTTGTTAATTATATTTATTAATCATCATTGTCTTTATTATTTTACTTTTCCCTTCACTTTATAGGCAACATGGAATACTTTTGTTAAATTTTTAGCCAATGCTGATAGCAGGCTTAAAATAGGGTTCTGCGGTAGTCACTCAACATACAGGTTGAGCAGCCCCAAATCCAAAAATTCAAAATCCAAAACACTTCAGAATCTGAAACTGAGCACCAACATGACACTTAAAGGAAATGCTCACTGGAGCATTTTGAATTTCAGGTTTTTGGATATGTGATGCTCAACTGGTAAGTGTAATGCAAAAATCTAGTAAAACCAGAAATCTGAAGCAGGTCCAGTCCCAAGCATTTGGGATAAGGGATTCTCAACCTATGTATGCTTCTGCTAACTAGGTTTAGCATTTAAATGTATTTAAAGCATTATTTTATGGGATTTGGTGAATCTCTGCTGTTCACAGAGGTAATACAGGATGTAACTTCCCTCTCCTAAATGTTACTGTTGTTTTGAGAGGATGTAGGCATATGGCAAATTTTAGCTAAAATAAGATGTGCTACATCCTTGGGAGGACAATCTGTGTGATGGATGCTACCTTCCCTTTTTATTAGAACAACATGACAGAAGATTTAAGGCTTTATTTAAAGTATCTGATTATTAGAATTAAAAGCCATGAACATTTAGACTAGAGAATAACAAATATATTTTAAAACTTGAAAACATTCTTCTGTGATTTACATAGCATGCCTCTTCTCAATGTTCATATATATATAAATGTTTAGAATGTTTTGTAGAATGTTACAGTGAGATAGTGGTGCACATGTCTAAGGTACCTCTCAAAGATCCTACGAGAGGCTTCAGGCTATGTTTTGTTACAAGTGCTGCAAGCTAAAGCATGAAAGAAGTGAACCCTTGGCCATCACTGAAGAGTCTTTCCTAGCTGTCTGCTTCCAGGGAAGGTATTTTGGGGATTCTGATCTGTGTCTGAAAGAGATAAAGGACTTGTTCCAGATCTCCTCAGAGTATATCCAATGACACAGGTGAACTCTAAATCCAAAGACTTTCTGTCCTTCAGGGCCACTCCAGGTTTGAATGAGACTCTTAACACTGGGCTGGATGACCAAGCAGGATTTAATTCAACCTGCAGTAGTTTAGACTTGCAGAGGGAGTGCTTTACCTTTCTGAGGAGGAAAGCCTCTACCTCAGATGCATGGGGGCCTTGACCTGCCTGTCTTCCTTAAGTCCATTGGACCACTGATTAGAATGCTCTTCTCATTTATTCTGTTGTAATGATGTTTTGTTTTGTCTTCTCACTCAAATACGTATGTAGCCAAAAGTTAGCTCTAAATTAATCATGCACTGTGATAATATAAGGCATCATGCCCATCAGAATTTTAGTGTATTTTCAGTGAACAGAGTAAGATGCTTTCTTATTCATGTAGTACAATTGTATAAGGTATCATGCCCATCAGGTTACATTTTTGTGCATTTTCAATGAACAACAAGGGATATTTCCTTGAGGTAAGCACATATAATATTGAACAAGGATCAGTATTTTCCATTAAGTGAAAACTGTCACTTTGCCTGGTAATTAAAGAAACAGAAACACAATAATATAAAACTGAATTGGATTTGATTTAATAAGCTATTGCTTTGGAAACATATATAAAGCAAAACTTCAAGGACATGGTACCTAACACTCATAAGGGGCTTTAAAGCTATTGTAGACTCAGACAAAGTAAACAGATAAAGATTTATATCTGTAGTTGTGAAGGTACGATGTGATTAGTGAATCTTTAGTAATAATGACATAAAAGACCAGAAGATGGCAGAGTTTCTCCAAGAAACTCAAATCCCTTTAAAGAGGAAGTTGATACAAGAAAATTAAAGTGCAGCTTATTAAAATAAGGGGATTTCTTGAAAGTACTAAGTGTTTGAGTCAGAATGCAATACTTGAAAAGCAAATGATTTAAAGAAATTAAAAAATAATTTAGAAAGTTTCTTGAGAGTTGCATTTATCATTTATTTTGCAGATAGGGCATAAGATACTGTACAGAAGGACTTAAAACTGCACATTATTTGTCCTAATCTTACAAGTAAGATAAATCAGCAGCTACTTATAAATCAAGTTCTAGAATACATTCCTGGGTTGGCACAAAGGCAGATTGACTTTTACCATTTTCTCATTCATTGGTATATATCAGAGTTTAATTCTGATGATGGTACTGAGTCCCTGAGAAAAGCATAAGTTGAATACATAGTATTTTCTAAAGTAGTAAACTGTACAATAAATTTTAAAACTTCCATTGAAAAGAGTTTGAATGAAACGATATTTTGATATCTCAAATACGCCCTTTGCTTGTTGAGTTGTAAAATACTAAGTTACTCTTAATAAACAGTTGTCCTGGCTAAACACACACTGATAGCCAGTGACATCAACAGAAGACAGATGCCAGCTTTACAAATCAAGAGTGTGTTTGCATTTCCTATGAATAGTTCAGGTATTTGATGCATCTTTTCCTTATACAACAAACACTGATTGAACACTTTGATTCCACGTGTCAGTGTTTAAAATACTTGCTGAGTCTTTAGCTCTACCTATTTTGCTGAATAAGAAATTGTAGAGAGATATTTCAGGTTATGCTTGATAACAAGCATTTTTCTTTATCATTCCAAATTAAGCCAGAATAAAATGTTATTTGATTGCATTAACATAAACTAAGAAACCAATGGGAGTGATTTCAAATTTGAGAAATATGAAGTTAAAATAGAAACTTGGACTCATTTTCATCAACCTTACTAGTTCTAGGCAAGTCATTGTCATTACCTCTGCTTGCTGGTGGTATTTGGAGCCATTTCATCGTGTGTCCAGTAATTGCTTGAATTTTAGTTAATGGCCATTTTTGAAGCTGTCAGCATCTTAAACAAATGACTAAATCATTGTAAGGAAGCATGGCTTCTGCAAGTCTACATCTAAGTAGGCTTTGACTTTAAAATAGCAAGTTCATATCTGTTAATTTCTGTATGATTTAGCATGTAAGTAATTTCTAGCAATGATTATGTCCCTTCACTACTTTTTAAAGTATTTTTCATCAAATAGAGTCTTAGGGAACAGTGAGCATGAAGGGATGTACACTCTATTCCAAGATTGCTGAAATCTAATTTGCTCATAATACATTAACCAGAAAAAAACTGTTTCTTCTGTCTACTGTTACATTATATGTTTTCTGGTAATTTACTAAACTTTGAAAGGATGAATAGATATAGAGCAATGAGAGTCTGATTAGAAAAAGGAGGTATGGAGACATTTTAAATGGTTGATGTTCTGTAAGTAGTAATTTAGTTTTACTGAAAAGTCAATAAAGGCTGAAAAAGTTTCATTTTTTTAATGAATGCCCTATTATAAGTAAACATTGAGATACATATAATTATTAGGGGAGGAGGACCAAAAGCATCCATCGTGATAGAAGAAAGGACTGTCAAAACGCTCCTACCAGAATTCTATCCAGATTATGAACTCTAAACAAGTGTAACTTTTTTAGTAATGAACTTATTACTCTCAGTTTCCCAGTATTATAAAATTGATGTGTTCTCTAAGAATCATTTAGATAGATAAACCTTTGTGGGAATCTATGGATGTAGAAACAACAGCTAGAGAAGGAGATTCAAATATTTTTGGTTCTCGAAAAAATAAATACTTTACTTTTTTTCCTTCAAATTACAGCATCTTCACAACTATTTCACAGTGACCCTTGGAATTCCTGCTTGGTGTTCTTACGTCTTTTTCGTCATAGCCACCTTGGTTTTTGGCCTTTTCATGGGTCTGGTAAGAGATAATACCAAACTTTTTTCTGTCTTTAAGGCAAAATGAATTTCATGTACAACTAAAAGGCAGCCGAGAAAGAAAAAGCACGTAACATAATGGTGTTTTGTGTAATCTGAGTAGTTAAATGGCATTTGCTTGTTTGAGACTGCTTTCAATGGTAATGTGAGATACAATTGAAAAATTATTAAATTCTTATCCCCAATCCTATCCCTTAAATATTTTGGAGTCACTGCCTAGAGTATAGACAGTGATACAAATAAAAGAGAGACCCTACCTGAATTGATAGTTTCTAAGACAACTGAGTCAGCTGTGATTTCACATATGGCTCACTTAATTAGAACACTGTAGTGATAAGGCCAGTGTTTTGAATTTGTTCCTTGGGTAGATGCAAGATTTTTTGTTTTGTTTTTATCCTCCAGTTGAACTAATGCTGACCAGCTGCTTATTCATGCATACACTCTGGTTTTCCTGAGATATAGTTTGTAAGATAATGTAGTTAAAACAACACGATTATTTTTGGGGCATGAAAATCAGTACCCAGTATATATCTGTGCATTTTCTCCCCAGTGTTTCAGGCAAGAGTTGAATAGTAAATTTATTTATCTAACTGTATAGGCAACTATAAATGTTTAGCATGTTGTATTCTTTGTTACTTTTTTCTTTCTCTTAACTAACCTAATCTTGATTAGTTTGATTTCATTTTAAACCCTAATTAAGCCAAAAAATTTTAAAAAACCTTTATAATGTATACTAATCACATAGTTCCTATACACTATAATGGGAATAATTGATGATTACTAAAAATTTATATAAGAGAACAGACTCTAAGGTAAGGTTATCTTAAAGTCTATCCTAATATTTTATAGTGAATTTTGTCTGTTTAGCAAGTTCTTTTTAAAAATAAGCTTAAAATGTTAACAGTTGAGATAATAAGTCATAACCACCCCCAAGGAGCCAAGGAGGCTCAATTTGACTTTTCCATGAACATAACTAATTCAAATCATGGCTTATCTTTAAGACTTGGCTCCGGATGTTAACTTGAGGGGTGGGAATGAGACTTACTTAGATACCTGTATGTGTCCTTCATTAGGTCCTGGGTATGTTCTGTTCTGTTGCATTAATCTTTTTGCTAATTAGCATGTCCCCATTGCCCGGGTCTAAAGAGAATCGACACTGGTTATAAATGGAATGTCAGTGTGCTTCTCCCATCTGTTGTCTAGTTGCTAGATTTTTCTAGCAGTGTATTTTGGGGCTGCATAGTGTGAGGTTCTTGTAGGGGGAACAGTATGAGGTCCCAGGAGAATCAATGATGGAGTTATAGGGAATGTAGGTTGTGTGTGAACCTGCTGGAAGTCTAGTGAAAATGCTTAGAAGTTTAGAATATTACTTTGAGGTTGACTTTAAGTTCATGAAATTGAGTTGGGCCTGCCTGCCTATGCCTTAGATTCTTTTGAAAGCCTAGATTCAGATAATTAGTGCAGAAGGGTTATTGGAGCCTTGGCGTGAAGAAAGGAGAGAGTTGATTCTAGCCTGTTCAACTGATTAAGTGAGATAGACTATCCTTCCTTAGTAAAAAGTTGGGAAAATAACTTTATTTAATAAAATAACAATTTCAAAGCATAAGAATCATAAATTTAAGAAGAGTCATACCTTTATTGTTAATAAGTTTCAAAAAAATAAACACATATCTGTGTTCAAAAGTGCCTGTTTTAGGTTGTGCACAGTGGGTCAGGCCTGTAATCCTGGCACTCTGGGAGGCTGAGGCAGATGGATCATTTAAGCCTAGGAGTTTGAGACCAGCCTGGGTAATATGGTAAAACCCTGTCTCTAGAAAAAATACAGAAATTAACTTGGCATAGTGGTACACGCCTGTAGTCCCAGCTACTTGGGAGGCTGAGGTGGGAGGATCATTTGAGCCCAGGAGTTCAAGGCTGCAGTGAACTGTGATCTTGCCACTGTACTCCAACTTGGGTGACAGAGTTAGACCCTGTCTCCCAAAAAATAAATAAATAAAAATAAAAATAATACATACATACAAACAAACAGAATGCCTTTTCTATTAACTGTAAAGTGTAAACACACAACAACTAGAATGTTTGCCTTTAGTAACCTTTAATTTCTTATGTACTTTTCAACTTCTTTTTGTGAGAGTTATATAATTTGAAACATCTGCATTCTTATCCCATTTTAAATCGTCTATTCCAGAATGACATTTTTGTTAACTTCTTAGGATGATGGAGAATTGTTTCTCAATTGTTTCCATATCTTAGCCACATAGAGAATATTTATGTAGCATGCCAGTGTAAAGGGATGGTACTGAGGGGCAAAGCTGCCTGAGGCTGACTCTGAATGGCCCAGACTCCTTAAGGGATGACATGCCTGTTGGGAAGCTAGGATCTAAATATGTGTGTGTGTATATATATATATATATATATATATATATATATATATATGGTAACTTCACCAACTGAGTCAAAATTAAATGAGTAAGTTAGATAGACTAAACTAAACCTGAGATGACATTGTTGGGTATACCACTTTCCAGAATAGAAGAATAGGATAAATTAAGATGAGCGATATGGCAGTTACCCTGATTTGATCATAATGCTATATATACATGCATTCAAACATCACATTGTACCCCGTCAGTATATATAGTTACTTTGTGTCAATTATAAATAAAAAAAGAAAAGTCAAAAAAAATTATGTCCTGGAATACCCAGCAAACATATAACTATCACTTTAAAATGTAAGGTTTTCAAACCTGAGTCATTTCAGATGGAATGCTTTTTCTCTTTGTTGTTCAAATTGATTTAATGCCTTAGAGTTTATTGTTCCCCAACCCACCAAGCCTTCCTGCATCTCACTGCCCCACCTCCTGGGTCTCCTCAGTTTATCATTCAGGGCTTTCTCTGGATCCAAGATCCCCCATGGAGATCCAGCTTAGTTTAGTTTAGAGCAGCCAAGTGGTGCTGCTGTTCTCTCCTGACTGCCCAGGGCATTAAATGCCTCCTCCTTTCAAGTCATCTTCAATCATTCCCCACCCACAGCTGGTTGTAACATTTGTGAAATGTTCTACCACTCAGTCAGGGGTTACCCACTGGTGAGGGGCAGCCTATATACAGAGTGGTTTGGTTGTCCAGAATATGTATTTTAAAAGACTTGGTTCATAGTGTCTATCTTCTTATACCTGCTTGGTTCATCTATTTATAGTGGTTCTCTGTAGACTTTTGACTTTGTGACCACTGTTCTAAATTAGTATTTTCCTGTATTATATCACATTTGAAAACTAGGAAATTCTTAATTATATCCTTGTCTCTTGTGAAGACTTTTGACTAGCTGCTAATTAATAGTCTAAGAATATCTGATTATAGAAGCAAGGCCTAATTTTGAGTCCCTTTGGTAATAAATGTCCTATCTCTTCACTGTAAAATCACTTTTTCCCCTCCAGGTCTTGGTGGTAATATCAGAATGTTTCTATGTGCCGTTTCCAAGACATTTATCGGAGCATTCTGGTAAGTACGATGCGCTCCGGTGACATAGAGTGTTTTTGGAATTCTTCGATGTGCCCTTTTGTGCTCATATACATAGTGGGTTTTCTCTCTGATTTGCTAGGCCAAATCATCACTACCAAATTTCTTTTTTTTTTGAGACGGAGTTTCGCTCTTGTTGCCCAGGCTGGAGTGCAATGGCGCGATCTCGGCTCACCGCAACCTCCACCTCCTGGATTCAGGCAATTCTCCTGCCTCAGCCTCCTGAGTAGCTGGGATTACAGGCACGCGCCACCATGCCCAGCTGATTTTTAGTATTTTTAATAGAGACGGGGTTTCACCATGTTGACCAGGATGGTCTCGATCTCTCGACCTTGTGATCCACCCGCCTCGGCCTCCCAAAGTGCTGGGATTACAGGCTTGAGCCACTGCGCCTGGCCTCCAAATTTCTTAAAATATGTTTCCTAGGTAGATTTGAACAAAAATTATTTTTCTCCTTCTCTTAAATTAGGAAATATTTCATTTTGGTAAATGCTTTTTCTTTTTAAGTGTGTGCTCTTCATTAATCAGTGTCATATTTTCCTTTAACTAGAACTAGAAGCGAAGAAGGGGAATTCAATATATATTGAGTCTGCTCTCTGCCAGTAACTTTCCTAAGTCCTTTAAAAGCAGTCTCCTCAAATCCTTGCACTGCTCCACACTGCTTCTAGGGCCAGGTGGCCCTGGATTTGCATGTCTTTATTCCAGACTATTTTTGAGACTGCATAAAGATGTTCACGAGACTTTGTAATGTTGAATTTTATGTAGGAGTTTAAATAAACTCATGTTTCCTTTTAGTTCTTGAAGTTTTTGAGGCTTTGAGACTTTGATTGATAATTAGAAAATAGTTCCTTGCGACGTCGGCCCTTCCGCCACGGTCGCCATTGGAGAGTAGCAGCCATGGCTCTTCGCTATCCCATGGCTGTGGGCCTCAACAGGGGCCACAAGGTAACCAAGAATGTGAGCAAGCCCAGGCACAGCCGCCCCCGCGGGTGTCTGACCAAACACACCAAGTTTGTGCGGGACATGATCCGGGAGGTGTGTGGCTTTGCCCCGTACGAGTGGCATGCCATGGAGTTACTGAAGGTCTCCAAGGACAAATGGGCCCTCAAATTTGTCAAGAAAAGGGTGGGGACACACATCTGCACCAAGAGGAAGCGGGAGGAGCTGAGCAATGCCCTGGCTGCCATGAGAACAGCCGCTACCAAGAAAGAGTGAGCCCCCTCCCCTGCTCTCTCCCTGAAATAAACAGCTCCACCCAAGCCCTGGCTCTGCTGCTGTCCTAGGTTGGGAGCGGAGTCCTTCAAGCATCTGTTTGGTGCCCACTAAGCCACGCCACGAATCAAAGCCCTGGTGGACCTACCCACCCACCCTTCCTGGGACAGCAGGCAAGGAGGCCCCATACTGGAAATGACTTTAATGATTAAATAGTTCCTCTGCCACACTGATTAAAAAAATAATAATAATAGAAACCCAATATCAACCAGTTTAGGGAAAAAAATAAAAATTTATTAGCTCACATAACTGAAAAGCCCAGGGATGTTCTAGCTTCAAGCATGGCCCAAGTGATGTTAGGTTTTTCTTTCTGTGTGGCTTATTCATAAGACTTGTTGACAGTTCGTGCTCATTTTCTCTGTTTAAAAATCCCTGAAGAAAGAGAGACTTTTCCTCTTGAGTCTGGCCCAGAACTCCTTGTTGGTCCTTTGAGTGGCTCAGCTTGTCACATTTCTGAACCAATCACCATGACCAATAGGGTCACTGAGCCTTCTACAAGACACAAAATACAGAGCATTAAGGAAACTTTGCTCTTGCTGCCCACATGCCCTGCTGAAGTCATTAAGGTCCGTGAAATCTTCAGAGACAGACGGAGAAGCCCTAAATGGGACTAGGATGCCAACCAGAGAATCTATCCTGTGTGACCATAGCTTCAAGATAGAAAAAACTGTCACTTTCCCTCAGTTTTTATTTCACCGCTAAACATACTCATTTGATTACTAAATTACAATTGTTTATTCAGAGGATATTCCTCTTTCTTCCCTCCACAGAGCAGAATCGGAGGTCGGAGGAGGCTCATAGGGCTGAACAGTTGCAGGATGCAGAGGAGGACAAAGATGATTCAAATGAAGAAGAAAACAAAGACAGCCTTGTAGATGATGAAGAAGAGAAAGAAGACCTTGGCGATGAGGATGAAGCCGAGGAAGAAGAGGAGGAGGACAACCTGGCTGCTGGTGTGGATGAAGACAGAAGTGAGGCCAATGACCAGGGGCCCCCAGGAGAGGGCAGTGCGACCCAGGAGGAACTAGAGCCTGAGGAGCCTGAAGAAGCCATCTCTGAGCAGCCCTGCCCAGCTGACACAGAGACGGCGGAAGACTCCTTGAGGCAACGTAAAAGTCAGCATACTGACAAGGGACTGTAGATTTAATGATGGGTTTTCAAGAATACAGACCAAAACAATATGTCAGCTTCCCTCTGGCCTGCAGTTTGAACCAAATCCTTAATTTCTCCTAAATGAGCAAGCTTCTCTCTTAAAAGATGCTCTCTAGTCATTTGGTCTCATGGCAGTAAGCCTCACTTATGCTAAGGAGAGTCAGGTGTGACAGTCAGGATATAGACAAACAAACGTAGTGTTGGGATCTGTTTGGGGGCTGGGATGGGAACAAGTTCATTTACTTGGCGGCGAGAAAGTCTTGACTAGAGGAGGCCACTCCCAGCCCTAAATAGCACCTTCTACAGACAAGGCTGCAGGCCGAGAAATAAAAGCAAAGCAAGAGCGTTGGATCCTGAGCATCCTCAAAGCGTAGCATAGAAGCCTTACTTCCTTGTCTTGTGTAAATGATTTATTTTTGTCAAACTGCAAGAAACATCAGGCACCACAGTGCATGAACACTCAACAGATAGCAGTTGAGAAGGCCTTGGGTATAGAAAGGAGCTCAGAAGTCATCGCAGCCCTCTGACTCTCCTGTGTCATGTTTTATTTCTTACCTTTAATTTTTCCAACTTTTCCACCATGGGAGTTCAGGCTTTCCACACTCTTCACAATTACCTCTTGGTTAGAGGACTCCGATAGCAACCAGGTTTACATGAACTATGTTGCTTATTCTGACCTATGGGTTTAGGTAATCAGTAACCGTAACCCATGAGGCCATGACCACCAAACATCTCAAATGAAATGTTGCAGCCATCAGAGATTCAAAAGGAAGTAAGGATTTTACAAGACAGATTTAAAAAAATTGTTTGGCCAAAATACAGTGTTTTTATTTTTTTAAGTTTCCTTAACAATATTCTTTTTCAAGCCAGAAGTCCTCTAAGTCTTGCCAGTATAAGGTGGTCTTGTGAAGAAAAGTTGAAACTATTTTGTTTTGTTTTCATCTCAAGGGGTTCCCTGGGTCTTGAACTACTTTAATAATAACTAAAAGCCACTTCTGGTTTTCCTCCACTGTTGTGCTTTTGGTGAAAGAATTAATGAACTTCAGTATCTGAAAGTGAAAGATTTGATTTTGTTTCCATCTTCTGTAATCTTCCAAAGAATTATATCTTTGTAAATCTCTCAATACGCAATCCACTATAAGTCCCCAGGGAGCCTAATTTCTTTTAAAAAGTCTATCCATTTATTTTTCTCTTACCTGATTTTTGTATTAGAATAAATTCGTGAAATTAGATTCCAAGCATATGAACGATGCCTAAAGTTGATTCTATGCCCCTTGGATCCAGACAGCATAATGAGTACAGGTTTATAAAACTCTAAAAGTTTCTGTTGTATTTGAAAAGGAACATGTGGTATATTTCTATCCATCTGTTTAGATAACCCCTCCCTCGTATTAACTGCGAGCACAGGGCTCAATGGGGGGAGGTACTGAAACCTCTCTGCCCTCCTGTGGCTGAATGAAGCTGTTGCAAGACTTGCACGAAGGAGGTTATTCTTCTGACAGCATCAATTTTTAGAGATGATTATTTTTCATCTTTCCAATTCAATTACTTGACAGTCTCCTTCCCTAGTATGGTAAAGTTTAAGAGTCATCAGTAATTGTGCTTTTCAGACAGTGGTGCAGCTTCAAGACTGAGGCCATCACCCAGCTGATGAGCTGGGAGAAACTTGCCATGTCCTGCCCATTTCCTGCCCCCTTAGTCACTGCCCATTTCCTGCCGCTTTGGTCGCTGACACATCTTCACCCAAAGTGCCATGGTTCTGATGGTGGCAGTTCCATCTCCCTGATACCAGGAAGCTTTTCTGGATAAGAGCAGAGCTGGGCCTGCCTGTCCTCCTGTCACTGGATTTCTTTCTCTTATAATCAGCTGAAACAGAGTTTTCAAAGAACAGTAAACTCAGGTTCACAGGTATTATGGAATAAGAATGGTTTTATAGTTTGGCTTTTCTATGTAATGCCTCCCACTCAAACTGAAATATTTGTGTTTTTTTGTTTTTGTTTTGTTTTGTTTTGTTTTTTTGTTTTGTTTTGTTTTGTTTTTTTAGTGGAGGATTTGACTAGAGGGGAGGGAAGGCAGAAATACAGTCTACCCTGGCTTTTATAAATGTAAAGCCAGTTTCCAACTGGACCCCAAATAGTACAGGTTGAACATTCCTGATACACCAATCCAAAACTTCAAACACTCCAAAATCTTACACTTTTTGAGTTCCAACATTATGTCAGAAGTGGAAAATTTTAAACCTGACCTCATTTGACGGGTCACAGTGAAATCAAAACTTTGTTCCATGCACAAGATTATTTAAAATATTGTATAAAATTACCTTCAAGCTATATTGTATAAGGTCTACGTAAAACATAATGGATTTTGTGTTTAGATGTGGGTCTTATTCCCAAGGTAATCTCTCACATACAAAAATCCTCAAATCCAGAAAAATTTGAAACACTTCTGGTCCCACACATTTTGGACAAGGGATATTTGATCTATATCTAATTATATAATAAGACAAATATTTATTTTTTGAGATGGATTTTCACTCTTGTTGCCCAGGCTGCAATGACACAATCTCAGCTTGCTGCAACCTCCGCCTCCCTAGTTCAAGCAGTTCTCCTGCCTCAGCCTCCAAATAGCTGGGATTACAGGCATGTGCCACCATGCCTGGCTAATTTTTGTACTTTTAGTAGAGATGGGGTTTTGTCATGTTGGTCAGGCTAGTCTTGAACTCCTGACCTCAGGTTATCCACCTGCCTCGGCCTCTCAAAATGTTTGTATTACAGGTGTGAGCCACTGTGCCTGGCAGAAAATGTATTTTCTTTCTCAGGAATACTTTTAAAAAGACTGAAGGGTAAGGAAAAAAGAATCTTGGAGAAGAGAACCCTTTAAAACTTTAAATATTTATCTGTGGGAATGATTTTTCCTGATTTTCCCTTTTTTAACATCATGGAAAAGATGGATTTTTTACCAGATGGCCTGATAAGTACATAACTAATGTCTTTCCACTTAAGACTTCAGGTTTGTTTTGAATACTTAATATAAACTAAAGGAGAAAAGTTAACCTAAAATAATTTAAACTTAAAATTATGTGAACAATTCAATAAGACATTGTGGATTTTTTCTATAGATAATATATTTGATCCAGAACTTGAGTATATGGAAACATGATTTTGATTTTTAAAATCTAAAAAAAATTAAAATCATGCTTCCCTCTATTGCAATATCAGTTATTTAGTCACAGAATGGTATTTTATGTAAATTAAAATTAGGTGAATGCAGTGAAGGTAACTGGTTTTGGAATGGGAATGTGCATTGCTTCATGTTTTGGGGATTGGAGCAGGGTACCTTTTCGTTGATTAGAAGGAAAGTTTGAAACTTCTGATTACCTTTATGTTAGTTTCGCTTATTATTTATCTCCTGCTAGATCTGCTAAACCAACCCAGCTTGCTCAGCTATCTCATATTAAAGCAACATACAAGCAATCCACATTTTTCTTTCCCTTCGAAGTATAGCTATTGGATGGGATGAGGGACAGGGCCTGTTGGGCTCACAGGGCCTTGCAGTGCATGGGCATATACTTACAAGCTCATCTTGTGCGTAGAATCCCTGCCTGTTAACCACAGACCTCTTTATACATTCAACATAACTACTGTCATAGAAAATAGATAAGCTTCAGCTGGGTTAGCTTTTGATAGTGGAAAAAGCCAAAAGTTTACTTTTTATGGCCAAAGTTCCTTGTTGACAACTGTGATATTCTGATATGATTTGGAAATATGTAAGTTTACAGAACCTGCCTCCTGTAAAAGCACCTTTGAGGTAGATGATAAAAGTCAATTTTAAGGCAAATACTTACCATGTGACTTTTTATTAGCAAGGGCATCAGTAGTAGAGCTGGTATGTTGTTTACAGGATGGAAACATTAAAGAGTCCAGAGAAAAATAAATTTTAAAGAACTTGGAAAACATAAGGTAAAACATGAGATTTCAGCACAAAATTTTTGGTATGAAGTGAGAGAGAGAAGAGGGAGGGAGGCTGGTGCTCTTGCTCCTATCAATAGGCTGTGTCCTTCATCCTGGTGTTGGCAGTATTATTTCTGTCAGTATTATAAATGTGTGGTTGACCCATCTTGTCAAATGTTCCAACATCATCGAAAGTATTCATGTTAATCTCATATGCCAACAGAAAAGTTCTTCCTTATGTAGTATCTCTTTACCTCAGTCCTATGTTTTGATCCTCTGGAGGAGATATTAGCTTGTCTTCAAAAGCCAAATGTGAAGTCACCAAGCCTGGTGAACCTGATGGCAACTTTTTGAATAGCTTTTCCGGAAGGAAGAGCTTCAGTTGAAAGGTTTTTGATCACTTCAGCCTGGGACATGGCCTTCAGATGGCTTATTCTCAGTAAAGCTTTATGTAGACTGTGACACTGTATATGTGTGACTCATAAAACTTTGATGCATTTCTGAAGTAGTTTATTCATATTTGTTATTAGGTAGCTGCTTTGTGGAAATGCAACTTTTATACTAAAAACATTGCTTGTTTGTAATGCAATGCATCATAAATTTGTTATATATATTCTTTGTATTAGTCTTAGCCTAATGAACTTAATTATGTTTCTTTCTGTATTCTTTGCTTCCTCAAATGGCATCTGCAGCAATTGGAATGAGAAATCCAGATATGTGTTTAAGTAGTACATTGCCTGAATCACAAATCACTTGATCACAGTATTGTACATAATTCTTGATCCTATTTGTTTCATTTTATTGTAAATTCCCATTTGCATCAAAACCTAATGATTGTGATTAATAAGTAAAAACAAATGGTGTATTGCTTTTCATACAAGTATTTTCACAAAAGCCATTTGCCTAGGCAGCAAAAAAATATTAATTTGTTAAAAAGATTTCCTTTGTGTCCATCCTCCATCTAGTCTGTTCATTCATTCTGTCTCTTTCTCCCTTCCCAACTTGGTGAAACTCAGACCCCGTGCCCTTTAGTTGCTCTGGAAAGTACACAAAACCAAGGCTGGATCCAAAGATCCAAGGCCTCTGCAGCCAGTGTGTTGCCTTTAGAAACCTCTGGGGTCTCCCTCTATCCTGAGGTCTCGGGGTAGCCAGATGGTATGGGATACTACTGCTCCTCCAAGACACTGGATTGACCTTGTCTTTGGGGCTTTCAGAAAACTCCCTTCTACACCTAACGCTCCCCACCACTTTAGTGGAAAAGCATCAAGGAGGTAAGGTGGGTCCTTGAAACATCCTCAGAGACTGAAACAATGGAGATTTGATTTTTTGTCCTTTGGAAAACAGTAGAGGGGGGGTGTGTGTTTCTAAATTTGCATGCCACCAAGGTCCTGTCTCAGAGATAGTGGCTCAGAATGCTTATTTGCCTATACAGAGAGAGGTCCGTAATGCTGTGTCTGCCTAGATGACTTTGGTTACTCATCCTTGCCTGTAGCAAAGCTTGCAGCTTTGAAGCCAACAACATTGAATTACAAATTTAACTTCCTGCTTTGCTGTAGTCTTGAATGTTCATTGAAATATATTTCACAATAACAGGAATTCTTTCTTAGAACATTTGGGCTTCTTGAGATTGATAACTGTATTATGATAGTCCAGGCTGTGCTAACAGACCCCCAAATTGTATAGCTGATTCACATAGTCCAGGGCAGGCAAACCAGACAATAGTGGCTGTGCTCCATGCAGGTTTTTCTGTGGTTTTTCTGGGCCTCAAGGTCAAGGGAGGCTTTGCTATTTAACATGTGACTGCTAAAGTGGCTGTGATCATTTTCATCCCCATCAGTCAGAAGGAATAAGAGATAGAGGAACATTGCTGAGAGGTTTTAGCAAGGCTGGCACACATGCATCACTTACGTTCACATTTCCTGTGAGAGGACTTAGTCACGGGGTCATACCTAACTGAAAGGAAGAATAGGATGTGTAATCTTGCTGTGTACTTAAGAAAAAAGGGAACTTTGAGAGGTAGCGATCTCTTGCTACAGTGACTTTTTCTTACCCATCTTTGTAACCCCAGACCTTTTATAGAGTAAGCTCCTGGGAAATGGTATGATTGAATGCACACATGGCAGGAGAGGACAGAGTACATAGGGCCCCAGTGCTGGGTGTCTTCCTGCTGGACTTGACCATTGTGGGCCTTCAAGATACCAGAGTTTTCAAACCAAGAATCGTGATTTCATGGAGTTTGTATTTTACTTGGGAAGGTGAATATTAGCAGGAAAAGAGTTCCAAGTGGAAAAGT